GAAGAAGAAGAAGAAGAAGAAGAAGAAGAAGAAGAAGAAGAAGAAGACAAGAGGACAAGAGGACAAGAGGACAAGAAGACAAGAGGATAAGAGGACAAGAGGAAGCAGAAGCACAAAGTGCTGAGAATGCAGGGCAACTCGGGCAGCGAAACTTGCACCATGGGCCTTTGAAAACGACTTGAAACCCAACAACATTCAAAAACAGACGAACAAGTCGGAAGGCCAAGCCAAAATAAGGGGGTGCGAAGACACGTGCATGGGGCCGGTGCCCGGATTATGTCAGTGCCGCCACTGCCGTCTTCCTCCACCTTCAGAACACTTGTCAGAACACTTTCGTGGCTGGACTGTTGTGTTCTCTCTCCCGGGCTGCAGAGGAAGCCAAAATCATGGGAGATGACAACCCATTATGCGAGCACAAATGTCAGAACAGATGCCGCAATACATGCCAGAGAACACGTCTCAGGACAAATGTTGGAACACTTGTCAGACATAATGACAGAACAAATGTCGGAATAGGTTGCAGGACACATGTCGGAACATGTCGGAGCAAAGCAAGTGCCAGAGCACATTGACATGAGAGAACAAGTGTCAGAATACCTATCCAAACAGACAAACAGAAGTCGGACCATATATCACAACGCATGACAGAACTCATGCTAGATTTCATGCCAGAGCACCTGTCACAAGTAATTACATTCCAGAAGGTATGTCAGAACACATACTGTATCAGACTTGATTGCAGGACAAATGCCAGAGCACATGCCAGAAAGGATGTCAGATCGAATTCCAGAACATGTCCCAGCCTTTATACTAGATGATCTGCCAAAGCAGATACGTGTCAGTCAGAACATTGTGTCAATGACGCAGCGTTTGTCAGGATACATGTGCCATGTCTTCCTCCAAATCGCCGTTCAGAGTGGGTATCCTTCGAACTAAACTAATTCGAGTCTCTTGCACTTGGCGACTTTCCCAACATCAAACACTTTTTACAACCGGGGTCAGTGAGGCATTGGGGGCTTCAAATTTCTAAATTCTATATACCGTGTCTCCTGCATTCTGCTTTGCAAGTTGAAATGCTCCCTGCTGTTGGCTGCCCTAGGTGGTGTTCTTCTGGACCCTAGATGACCCTATAGCATTCATGGTATTCCATTGTAAACTGATTTTTGTGAAGGAGGGATTGGATTTTTTCTTGTTTCCTCACCTGGCCCTGCTAGCAATCGTCATCAAACCCTGGCCCTGGCCATTCCGGAATGGATTTCTGGTCGGCCGTGTTCCATTGCATTCCACCCGCTGCCATGACCGTCGTGTTTTGCGCCCGGTCTTCGCGCTTTAGGACTTCAACGTCTCCTGGAACCGACCGTGGCAATACTTTGGTTCAGCATCAGATGTGGACGCTCGGCGGCATCTAAGGTCATAAATAAGCAGGGGAAACTGACAATATTTGGGTTTGTACAACATTATGTTACAATAGATTTCTTTTAAAACACAGTCATACCTCAAACCTTCTCTTGTTCAGTCCACACTCAAGTATATATGAGCCTCTCCGAATTGTTTCAAATAACATAGGGTCCCTTTACTTGACCTGTTGCTCCGTGTCACAACGCCACGGGCATCGCCACAGTCGCGTTGGCATCTGGACGATGCGCGCGTTTCAGGACACGACGCGACTGATGCGTTGTGAAGATACCACCTTGGCAAGGGTCTCGAGCCTGATGCGCGTCTATGGTGAGTTGACAGGCTGGCCGTGAATGATGCCGCAGTTGTTGAGCCTGCTCAGGGGGAGGGCAGGATCCGGCAGGATGCTTGGGTTGATGGTGATTGTTTGGTGTTTTTTGGTTGCCATTTAGTCCCAAAAGACAAGGAACCACTCTGAGAATGTGTCATTTTTTTCGGATGCATTATTGTAATCACGGTGATCAGACATAGCTTGAGTATATAATATATACAAGTGGTTCGTTGAAAGGGCCACATGACTGCAATGAGCCTTTGTTGTCTTTTTGTGCTTTCGGGTCTCCGGTGTCCAGTGACTGGCCTAGTGACTGAGGACGACCACTGTATACCACAGACCCTTAGGTGCGAACGAAAGAACGCACCATGTTTTCCAAGTTTCTCCCTTGACCACTGGCTTTGGGCATCTGGCGACGAAAGCCCGAGGCCGGTGCTTCGTTGGACGACCGAAAAACCACGGTCCCGCCGACGCGGCCGTCACTCTGCCGGGTGGGTGAAACCGGAGCTGCGAACGTTCGCCAGGCGACTGGGACGGCCTGGTGATGGAAGGCTGGGGACGTCGGGGACGGCCGAAGCGCGGCGGTCTGGGCCCAAGTCGGGGGTTCAAGGACCTGGTGGCGCAGCACTAAGGTATTTAAGGCCCCATGGCCCAGAGGTTCTCATAACCTTCATTGCTGCTGTTTCTGATGAATCTTCGTAGTCAACATGGTGTTTTGGGTTGAACAAGTCAGCAAATGTCGATTTCATCATCAATCATCAGGGTTATCCCGAATCAATCGATGTATACATGTTTACCACCAGGTGCATGTGTTTCATGCATGCTGCGGCGGCTGGTAGAACTACCAGGTTCAACCAGATTCACGCCCTGGCAGCTTCCCCCCAGGCCCAGGCGAGTATCGGGCCAAGTGCATGGATGACTACTTCTGGTACTCGCCGGCCTGTCGCGGCAACTCCTCCGAGTGCGTGCTGGTGCTGTCCGGTGGTACAGGTTGGTCTTTGGAAGAGTCTCTTGGCTTCAAACAAACCATATTATAAGGAACCAGGGATTCTAAGTCTATGGTTTTAGTCTTTGGAACCACTGGTTACCAACTATAGTGGTATCTGGATCATGGATCCCCTGGCATTTGCAAGAACAAGGTGACTCTGAACACTCAGAAAAGCAAACACAAACCATGACGAACATGTCAAGTCATAGCAACCTACAGGTCACCATTTATCCCTTTGAGCGAAGCGCGCCACCATCTACCAGATCTACCATCTACGCACGCCATGCCATCTATGCTGAGGTTTATGCAAAAGGGAGCGGTGCACAACATGCCTTTGGCGTTGTGTGTTGCCGCGAACTGGTCGGAGTACGCCAGCTTGCCCTCTGATTATACCAGCGCCTTCTATTGGTGGACACCAGATCCCACCTTCCTCAGGCGATGAAGGGCGATGAAGTTGGGGGGAGTGTGTCCGCCGGATGAAGGAGCACCCCCCACGATAGCTATTTAGTTGTTGCGGAAGACACATTTGCCTGCGGAAAAACACACATTTGAGTTTGCCTTGGCCTCGAAGCTCATTTTGTGGTGAACAGGAGCTGGGGGTACTTAACTTACTTGTATAGGATCATGATTGGGATTGGTCCTCGATGATGCTTCCATTCGGCATTCAAAATTAAGCAGGTCACCAGGTCACCCCCGAAACCTGTCAGTGTTATTGACATGGCTACATAATATGATATAATTTACATAAAGCTAATTGCTAAATAATACATCACATAGCTAGCATTAGCTAGCATTAGCTAGCTTTCTGTGATCTTTGGGGTATTAGCAGGGGGCTTTGGCATTTGTGGGTTTATGCCAGCAATCCCATTTCATCACCTCTCCGCGCCTTCCGGAAGACCGCTTCGCCCTTTCCCGGTCCGGTCCCAGGATCGATCCGAAGAAGATTATGTGGCCGCCTCACGACCGACGACAGGTGGCCCGAGGGGATCGAACCTCGGCCAACGCCGACACGCCCATCGATAAATACGTCAGCCAGGACCCCCCCGGGTGGACCATCTCTCGGGCCAAACAGCGGGTGGACCACGTCCGGTGGGTCACCGGGGCGACCATGGGCGACCCAGGGTCCCATGCTGAAACAAAGCACCGAAACAGATAGTCATATACAGAGGTCCCCTTAGCCCTGAGCCTTAGCCCATGGATGACTGTTTGTTCTGAAGATTTGGCTCAGTGGTTGGTTTGCTAAACCGCTTTGGTGAGTCTTGGCAAGTCTTCGTGGATTTGTTTTAGCTTTGCTTTGGTGGGTGACACCCGGTGTTTGCATGGGGCACCCTTCACTTGGTCGCAAAGTGAGTGGATCATAGTGGATGAAACACCCGGCAAGACCAATCGTTTTCCTATTCCCATACACTCCATGGGGACTGCCATAGGACTGCCGCCCCATTGACCCCCCTTAGCACCACCCCAACTGATCGGCAGTCGGCAGTCCCATGGGTCGTGTCTGGGATTTGCAGCTTTTCGGTCGGTCTTCCTTTCGTTTGCCGCGCGTGCTGCCGACTCGGCGTCGCGCCAAACCTCGTGGTCGCAGGACTTGGGCGTCCTGGCGCCGGATGCTGAAGAGCTGATGCACGCCTATTTGTTGGACATCAGGGCTGTGAACGACATGCTAGTGGACGGCCTGGAGGCCTCAGCTCCTGACTACCGCGAGATCGCCTGTCGGTGGCTTCAAGCGAATCGCGAGCTTTGGGAATCATGGATTCCTGACAAGAGCAAGTGCTTCGCGCAGTTCGGTCTCTTCCATGAACTGGACAAGCGGTTTGTCAAGACGCGTGCAGATCCTACACACTTGACTTGCAGGGCTTGCCCTTCAGGTTTCTTCTCCAAGGAGTGGCGTGCCAGTCGGAAGAGATGTCTTGAGATCAAGGAAAAACACCACACGCCACACCTGGGACAGAGTTAGTTGTCATTGAGCATCAACTTGTGAACAAACAAAAACAAAAACACGATGTTGGGCATGGCTGGGACAGAGAACTCAAGCTGCGGCAAGCAGGTAGGCAAGCAGGTAGGGTCTATGAGGGAAGACGTTTGTAGGGTTGATATTTGCGTGTATACTGGACATATATATATATATATACTTATTGGGTTGATGGACTTTTTAGCATCCCATGTACTCGTAGAGAGTCTTGCAGCATCACATAAAAGGGGGGGTTCTTTTTTCACTGTCACGCTTTAACGTCTTGGTCCCAGGTAATTCCTTCCCGCTTTTGGTGGTTTCCAGGAACTGGAAGACGGCTCTGGGGTGACCTTCATTTGTGAAGAGTGCCCCATCGGCAGCTCGCAAGCTTCTGGGGCTTCTTTGAGTTGCTTGCCTTGCGCAGCTGGGGAGTACCAGGCGGGAGTGATGCATGATGACTGACGTTTGCATGATCAAGGCTGAAACGAGGCATGTCCATGCCTCTTTGCATTCCTCAGGCCTCTTTGTTGTCTCCGCCCAGTCTTTAAACGAACTTTGCTTGTTTTGCATGTGGTGGCATTTTGCAGCAGCTTGCCCGCCAGGATACAACGGGCAGTTTATCGTGCAAACGCTGTCCTTTCGCGACCTATCAGGACGCCTATGGCAGTAGCAACTGCAAAGACTGTCCAGTGCCGTGCATGTGCTTCAGCTCTCTTTCTGGAAGTATTCCTTCAACATGAGCATTTTTGTTGGTGGGTTTTGCCATCGAACATGGTGGGTTTTTGTGTTCGAACAGAGGGAACTCGGTTTGGTCCCGAGAATTGGGCGACGACGATGGCTCAGGATGGCTCAAAAGGAGGGCGAGTCCTTCATCTCAAGCTGTGGATCATGTTCCGTTCCACACACCTACTATAAACCCTGATAAACCCTGATAAACCACCCCAAATAAAACGCATTCTGGAATGGGTGGAGGCATGGCTGATGTTTCTTCCGCCTTCACTGTGGTCCCAGGCTGGAACCACCACCCTGGGCGTCGGCTCCTCCTCCTTGGAGGACTGTGGATGCAAGTCTGGCAGCATCAACCTGGCCGAGGCGGGTGGTTCATTCGACCAACTGGGCAAGCAAGCAAGCAAGCAAGGAAGGAAGCAAGGGAAACAGCAAGGAGTTTAAAGGATCCTAAAGGTGTTATTGGGATATTTGTCTTTCTTTCAAGCGGGGCTTCTGATGGTCATGTTCGGTTTTGCTGTTCCTCGGTCCTTCCTTCGTTCTTGTTCTTTCGATGCTTGCCTCGGTCCTCTCCAGGCACCGATGATCTTCAATTGCTCCAGGTGCGGAGAGGGCCTGGACTGTCCGACTTCCTCGAGCATTGCAAACTTGCAAAGCGCCTCCTCTGCGGCAGGGGAGGACTTTGTGCCGCAGATTGCTGCTGGCTACTTCGCGAGCGAGGAGGAGAGGGGAGTGATGGGGAGTGATGGGGAGTGGGGAGTGTGAAGATCCGGCAGTTGCAGTGACAGAGCACCTTTGGGACTGTCAAGAGCAATCAGTTGGCATAAATTACAAGCTCGGAGGCGGTGACATTTACTTTCTGGTGCGCAGCGCAGCTGCAGGAGCCGATGAAGGTCTACAAGTGCGCCCCAGCCAACTTCTGTCCTGGTGGTAGACCTGGCACCTGTACCGGCGGCCTGGAAGGCATCCCCTGTGGGGTGTGCCCTATGGCGATGACCTGGAAGGAGACACGTTGTGAGGCGCCCGGATTGCAAGACGGGAGGACGAGGGACGGAAGAAGTTGAGCTCAACTGCAAATACGACCCAACTGTGAAAATCCTTGATCAGATTTTTTTGGCATGTTGCAAGGGTGATGGCTAATACGGATCCCTGCAGCTCCCTTGCTAGGTGTGCCACTCACTCACACTTTAGTTCGCCGCAGGAAGATGGAAAGTGAACATTATGGGATTGTGGGGAGGGCGCAGATGCGTGGTCCTGGGCACTCGTTGCCAGTTGATCATGTGCTTAACAAGGCTATGCGAACTCTGTGAGGTTACATGACTAGGTTTCATGCGATGCCACAAACCAAGTGTGGGCATGGGTGGGGGAGGGTGCCCTTTGCTTCAATTTGCTTCCAAGTGTGCTTGGTTTTGTCGTTTTTCTAACGCAGAGAAGATTCCCTCCCATATATCGTGGAGAGGTTGATTGAAGGTGTCCTGGGTTCTTTCTTCGCTCTTTTTGTGGATGAGAAGTCAGCCTGGCTTATCCTGGTGACGCTTATGAATGCTGATGTGACGGTGCTTTCAGGTTTGCTCTCCGCTTGCCTACAAGCCTCTGCTTGCTCTGGATCCTGAAGACCTCTTCCATCCACGACCAACTCTTCAAGATCGCATGTTTACCATGCACCCCACATATTCTTTCATGTTCAGGACTACCTCCCAAAACGACGAGCTAAAACTGAGGGACTCAGCTGGCGGCTTGGTTGGAAGCTTGCAAAATGCCGCCACCGGGGTCCTCCCTCTGGCGGCGTTCGAAACTCCTAAAGCGAGGCATTGATACGTTTGTTGGGAAACCTCCCGAAGAGTAAACCAATGGTGGTGTTCTCCCGGGGGCGCTCAAGCATACCAACACTCCTGGATTTGTGACCCATTCATCCCTACGAATTCATTTCACCCGAACTTCACCCTTACCCCTCTCCCACACTGTTCACGTTGGTTTGCCCCCCCCGTCCCTCCAGCATGTCCTTCCTGCCTCTTCCTGCCTGTGCGAAAAGGAATGCGATGGCGGCACCATGACTGCGTGGTCTTTGGCTGCCGTCACCGGACTGGCAGGCTTGGCCATTTCCTACCACGTCGTGAGCCTTGGACGCGACAGCCGCTCCGCGCAAACGCCCCACCGACCGCAGCAGGACCAGGTGCCGACCTGACTGACGCGGTTGGTCATTAGCAGATCAGGAGGGTAGGGAACATCCGATTCAGGTGGGAAACGTGGAGATGTTGCAATCTGAAAAGGATGTGAAAGGATATAAGACTGGACGTGACTGGTGCAAGGTGGTCGTTGGTATGGTCTGTGACGTTGGTGTGTGGATAAGAAAGGATATAAGACTTAAGAATTGACCTTCTGCTTGATCCAAGGATGTTCACATATATGCTGATGCTCACTATTTTTTTCAAAAGGAAAGCACCTCACTCTGACCCAAAATCAAAATGATCGCAGGAGTTCTAAAGTCCAATGAACATGTTAGGAACTGGATTGGGATCATTGAACATCCAAACCACCACAAAATCGGACTGGATTGGGATTGGGACCATTTTAGGGACGCCCCCCATCCAACGTCGGGTCTTTAGGAACAGTTCGCCGTCCGACTCGCTGGAAACGACCAGCACCGCACCGCTGCGGAGGGTTTTCTTGGACCCCCATCCGTGATCGGATGGTGTTTATCTAAGCACCCGATCCTATGGGTGGAAAGAACCCTGATCCTTTGCATCAATCTAGGCAATATAAAACGACGTCACCGACGTCACCTGAAATTAACGAGCAAGCTGAAATTAAGGTATATGGTCATACTAACATCACACACACACACACTTCATCGACTTCACAGTCCTGGCAGAGATGTTGGAGGCGCGGGCGGGCGTGGGCACTGGATCTAGGACTGGATTTGCATGGGGAAGAGGATGTCAGTCAGTTGGAGTTTTGCTTGAGTTTTCGGGCTCGAGTTTGCAAAAAAATAAGAAGTCATGCCTCACCTGCTCACTCTCCACACCACTAAAAAACACTGCCCAATTTCGAGGTCGGGAAGTTTTGAAGTTCTTTTAGTTGTGCCCCCCCATGAAGCGGCCCTCCAGCCATGATGAGTGCCCAACAACACCTACGGACCGCGTTCGGCCAAGCGTGTTCCCTAGCCCCAGAGCCTCTCAGAGACGGACCATTCAGCCAGATCTTGTGGACGGAAAAGATCCTTGGAACTTGAAGTAGTGATGGTTTGGTTGGTTTCCCTTTCACACCCAACCTGACTGGTTCTTTCCTGGCCAAATCGTTTTTGGGCCTAGTTCGCCGAACTAGGATTTGAGGCCTGGCGGCCTTGAAAGTGGATTGTTGGGGCTTTATTAGGTTGTAGCTCGGCAAACTACGCTGGGAAAAATTGGTTTTGGCTAG